AGCCCCTCTCCTCTCCACTCTCTCTATCCGCTTAATATTGCAACAATATTGCTGCGGTCGCGAGAGCCTTCCGCGCGACTCTTTCCAGCCCTGAAGACGGAGGCGGGGCCGGGGCGCTGACGTCACGCCCCTGCTATAAGTACTGTACAGTGATGCACAGAATCACCAAAACCACTTTAGAGCACTTCACGTCCCCTTCCCTCTCTCTTTCTGCCTCCATCTTCCTCTACTGTAAATGCAACATTTGTTCTAGAAATCCATATTCATATAAAACAACCTGTTTGCTAAAGCAAGACCACATCGCCTTTTTATTTTAAATAGAAGCAAAATAATTGTAGATTTATTCCATATGCCCACTGTCTCAGCATGCTGAAGGCTTATATGGTAGAAATAAGAAAAACCAAGGAACACAGCTAAGAATCAGCCTCGTTTTTTTTTTATTCCAATACATCAATACAGTAAACTCTCCATCCTGATACTGTCCTCAATTACCCAGTGAACATCTAAGTGCCTGAACATACACACACTTTGATTTATGAGTCACTAATGGAGCCCTCAGGAGAAGCACATACTGTACATTCAAAGGAATCGGAAAATACAAGTCTGGCTCATAATGCAAACTGCACATACCAGTGTTTTGAAGCAAAAGTCTGTGTTATATTTAGACTGACTTTAGGAAATAGATTAACAACAGCGATGCAAGACAACAATGTGAGTCGTTATCTTTTAAGCCAGATTACAAACTGTGTGGTTGTGAACTGCTACTGTAATGTTTTTAGAATACACAAATGCACACTTAATAACCATTGCCATTGAATAGCCATTAAAATAAAATTCGTAAGAACTCAAAAGCAGCACAAACTGGAATAAAATAATCTGTCACTGTAACAGAAATATCCTTGAGGCTTTTAAATTAATTTTTCACCTGTTTCCACTGACTATTGTAGCGTATCTGGAATAAACCACCAATAGATTACAAAGCAACTTTGTTCTTTCAAATTTGCTAGTTGGATTGTTAGCAGAATGAATTGCTTGGTGAATCTGCCACCTACAGACAAAATGGCACAATACAGCTTTTATAAGAACAAATGACACATTCACATACACTGCTACCTCTGCCATATTAAATTTAGTAGTGACACTGCTAATTTTTCAGTGTGACAATGGACAAAATACATTTAAGACTTAAAAATACAGCAGCTATTTTTCAGCAAAGCTGACTGACTATCACAAAGAAAACATTGATTATCCATTTGATGCATGTAGGAATTTAGATGGAATAAAATCTATCATCTGTTTTCTATGTGACTACAGTAGGCCTAATCTGCTAGAATATTTGAGAATCTCACACCTTTCCCCAGAGAGAGAAAGTGGGAGGGAGAAAGAGAGCTAAGGAGGAGAGAGAATGAAATGAGTTTCCTGAAGAGGAGATACAGCAAATGGGAAAAAAGGGCCATAAACGATAATGAACATTCCCCCTCTCCTTAATCTCCTCCATCCCCCCTCTGAGAGCCAGGAGTCTGCAGCCTGCAGGAAGGATGCTGCTAATTTCCTTCTTTATTGAATTGAGCTGGACACACGCGTCCTGCTGGTCCGACCAGCCTCCTCGCCACATCCTCTGCTCCGCTGCTCTCACTCCGATGCTCATCCGAGGGCCTCTTTGTTAATTATTCTGCCTATTTGTACAATTCTCTGTTTCTCTCTCTTTTCTTTTGCCATTTCGGTATCTCAGCACTTAGTCTCCATTTCTTACTCAGCCTTTTTTCATCTGCCTTTATACTCTCTGCAAATAGGGTACAAAATAAGACCTTTAACAATGAAAGGTGGAGCTTAACCTTCAAAGCATCGTCGCCAGCCTAAGGCTTTCAAATTTTATTATGCTGTATGAAATGTTTAATTTTACACTACTAATTATTGGAACTACGTTTTTTTTTAAGAAATGACTTTTATTCAGTAAACACATTAAACTGATCAAAAGTGAAAGAAAGATTTTCATTTCAAATAAATGCTTTTCTTTTAAACTTCTATTTGTCAAAGAATCGTGGAAAAAAAAGATGTTGTATCATAGTTTCCACAGAAATATTAAGCAGCACAACGGTTTTCAACATTGATAATAATAAGAAATGTTTCCTGAGCAGCAAATCAGCATAATTTCTGAAGGATCATGTGTCGCTGAAGACCAGAGTAATTTCTGCTGAAAATTCAGCTTTAAAATCACAGGAATAAATTACATTTCAAAATATATTAAAATAGAAAACCGTTATTTTAGATTGTAGAAATATTTCGCAATATTATTGTATTCGCTGTATTTTTTATCAAATAAATGCAGCCTTGGTGAGCATAAGAAACTTTCTTTCAGAAACATTCTTACTGACCACAAACTTTTAATGTACATTCATTTTGAATGAAGTTTTCCATTTTTACAACCCTGTTATTAATATTTTGCCTAAAAATGTCTAAATGTTGTTTAAAACCCTGATTTGTGATGTTATTTTTTTTTTTAGCAATGAACGTTAAATTAATATCAAAATGAAATAAAACTCAAATGCAAATTTAGTCTAAACTAAGCTGTAAGTTCACTTGGAATTAATGTTATTTTTAAGTTATTGTAGTTGTCACATATAGTTATTTATAAATTTATACAGCATTTCCCTTTAATTCAAGATTTTTTTTAATAAAAACAAATCATGACAATTTTTATGTGGTTAAAGCTATAGCCTCATGCTGTCTATGTTAATGTTATTTGTGATATAGAACGGTTCCCTATTTTTATTGATAGTGCCTCTTGTGCTTTTGGCTCATCTGCCCACTTCTCCTGTCATGCCCCACCCACAGAGACCAAAACTGCGGTAGGACATTTCACATACACTTCCTGTCTGCTCCCTGCAATTTTCTCAAAGCAAACACAAAACGCAAATCACAAAAAGAGTGAATACAGTGATACATGAAAACAAGGTATGGATAGAGAACAGAGATTCCTGAGCATCATGAGCTTTTATATTAGGACATTTTATATAAGAGACTCTTGGAAGAATTTCACAGTATAGAAAGCAAACAACTGCAGTGCAAAGGCAGATTCTATACTATTAATGAAACCACACTGCGGCATGTCTTGTCTGGCATTCGGTACACAATAACAGGAAAATGGAACCATAATTTGGAGTTAATAGAGATATTTCTGTGTACTGAAATCGAACAGACCAGCCTACACCAGTATGAATTCTGGTCCAGTCTGGTTTATAGTGGTTAGTGCTGTATAGGTTAGGTGCCAGAATAGTTGAAGGAACAGCATAGCCATGTTCAGAGCTAGTCAACCACGGTTATTTTGGAGAAGCTGGTTGACCAATTAAGTCGGTTAAGTGGACTAGAAACCTGGTGTAGTGTCTCCATATATCTAATTCTGAGTTAAGACCCATTCACACCAAAAACATTAACTATATAAATAACTATAACTACAGTACAGTAGAGTCCTCCTCACCAACGGATGTTCATTTTCTGGTTATTATAAGCGTGTGACTGGCCAGCTAACAAAAATATGTTCTAAGAATGTTTTGCTAACATTCCCATTAAGTTCTGAAAACATTATTTCTGAACGTTCTCTGAATGTTCAAAATGTCCAGTTTTTTAAATTTGAAAAACATTGCTTTGTTACATTATGCAAACGTTAAGGGAACATTCCATTTATCATTTTCTAAAAAAAGAAAAATGTAAGGAAACATTACTTATGAATGATCTCTTCTGAAACAATTAGTAACATTTAAAGAACAAAATGTTTCATAAATAAAACCTTCCATGAATGATGTATAATAAAGTTTTTGTGCTAACTTTTGAAAACCTTTTTAAAGACCAGATACACTGAATGAACTTTGTATTAACCTTACTGGAAGAATGTGCGTTCATAACTTTGCCAGAATGTTAATCAAAGTTCTGAGAGCGTTTCCTTTTAGCTGCAGTTATGTAATTGTTCAAGCTTTTGTATTGTGGTTGTGGTCAACGTTTTTATCATTTATCAAAAAAAAAAAAAAAGTCTGTAAAAAGTCTGTGTTATCATTCCTCTGTGTTGTTATTGTTATAGTTGTGGTCTGAGCATCACTATTCTCTTTATAGTTATGGTCCTTGGTGTGAATGGGCCTTTGAACTAACAATGCTGGGTGAACGTGATTTGACCAAGTACAACATGTTCCAGTATCAACATCCTTGTTGATCCTAGAACAACATTCCAATCAACCAATCAGAATTGAGGGATAACTTTTCAGGAAATATCTGTTTTAGGCTTACGATCAGGATTAGGTGCTTCTACACCCTTGTTAATCAGCTATCATTTCACACTGATTTTAGGAATAAATTATGGGTAGTGTTATGTTTAGGGGTAGGGATTGGGTTAAGTCTGTATTTTTGGACAGTAATGTTGATCCAGGATCAACAAAAGATGTTGATCCAGGAACATGTCTTACTTGGCAAAATCACGGCGACCAACAATACTGATCGCAAGCAAGTGTCTACTGAGCAAACTTTAAGTTGAACACATTTCAGTGTGTGTACAAACTGAGGTGTACGTGACTGTAAGAACGGTTCACCTTTCTTCGTTAGATTGGCATTTCAACAGTTTTCTCACACCTCAGCTAATTAGCCAGCTGCTCAGAACACTTGTTAATTAGAAGAGAACTAACCTCTTACTTCTAAATACAACCACACAAACTCACATCCACCCACAGGTGGTCTAGGAGTTCATGCTTCTGCATATTATAAGCAGCACATTCTGACAGTGCCAGAAATACCTAGATTAGGGCTACAAAATAGTGAATAGTGACATTTTTCGCCTTCTAATAAAAATAAATAAATGCAAACTGAAGTAAAACACCTCCTGTCAGTAACGCACAACGCCCACAATGATTTCTGCGCCATCTGAATGGACTGAAATGAGACATGGCTGTTTACATTCTGAATGTATGTCGGTCAATAAACATGTACAGTAAAGATATTAGAGAAGACTGCTGTACCTGCTCGTTGTTGTTCATGCACTGTAGTTTCTTCTGTTTCAAGTAGGTTGTCGTGAGGGGCATGCTGTAGTCGATGAGGTCGGCCGCCAGAGAAGTTGGTTGATTATTTTCTGAGAAAGCATGAGAGATTTACAATGGTTAGACCATACAAATATAATGATAAAAACAGGAAAAGTGAATAATTCTATTGTTATACTTGAGATTCATATAAAGAATGTGAATAAGGTAAATGTTATTTCTCTAAACTGTCACTAGAGGGCAGTATCTGCCCCAGTGTTTTTTGCTGGCACACTTCTGCCTCAGATTAACAGTGTCAAACAAAGGCCTAATTACCGTATATAAAAAAACAATCCATATGCAAATTACATTATTATTCATGGAGAAATGTGTAGATATTTAAATCCATTCTCCACCCACAGCTGTTATATTTTCATCCAAAACCACTGTAATGATGTCCTGTGATTTGTGTGAAAAACCACTGTGAATATTTGTGTGAAGATCATGATGATAATGCTTCTGACTTTGACAGTAATCATTTCTGATTTGTTTAGTGTCTGTGTGTGTAGTTGTGTGTGTGTTTATGCACACATATACACTCAATTTTAAAGGGATAGTTCACCCAAAAATGAAAATTCTGCCATAAATTTCTCACCCTCATGTCGTTCCATGAAATGTTTAAGTCCCAGAAAGGTAGTAAGGACATCGTTAAAATAGAGAAGAAATTGTTGAATAAAGTCGTTACTTGTTTTCTTTGCACAAGTGGAAAGAATGGATTCTATTTGCACTAAGTGAAAATAGCAGAATTTTTAACAATATGCATTTACACTAAGTGCAAATAGCTATAAATTATATTTACACTATGTTAAAATAGCAAGATTTTCTGCTCTTTATACTACTTATTGCAAATAGTGGCAATTATCTGCACCTCAGTATTGTAGTACATTATAAAACATCTATGCGATAATAATGTATTGTGTAAATTATAATTTTTATTCAAATTATTAAATGGATGCCACCTTATTGGAACAATAAAGCCCACCCTACACCTACCCGATACTTTATTTTCAATGTTTTGATTATTTCCTTAATTTGTATTGAAAATAAATGCCTTTCTGATGTGATATGAGATATGAAAAGGGAGAAAAAAAGTTCGGCAAAAGGCAGATTCGAACTCGGGTTGATCGCGTCAAAAAGCACACGTCTTATCATCTACGCCACTGAAACTGATGTTTGATGAATGTCTTTTGTAGTGTTGACTAGCCCAATCACATGTTGTTGGGTGGAGTTAGTGTAAATAGCCTCTGCCAACAAGGTGGGCTATTTGCACTTAGTGTAAATAGACATGATTGCTGTTCCGAAGATGAACGAAGGTCTTACGGGTTTGGAATGACACGAGGGTGAGTAATTAATGAGAGAATTTTTATTTTTGGGTGAACTAACCCTTTAAGTGCACTCACACACAGAAGTGCACAGGCAGTATGGTCCTCCTGAGTTTCGGGAAGAAGGTCTAAAACATGAGGAATTCCTAACAATTTCCTTTAGATTTCATAAATGTGGAAGCATTTGTAGTCATATCATGTAGCCTTCTCATTTATGGATTTTATCGGCTTTGAGTTAAAAGAGCCATGAAGCAACCCATTACCTGCTGATAATCTCACGCACATATACACACACAGTAATGGATGAGCTGTTTACTGTGTATTGATCAATTTCATTTTCTCATTTCGTATGGATTTACCACAACAAACTAAAAAAAAAAATCCTTCAGGATCTAGATCACCGCTAAAACCAACAATGGTAATAATGGTTAATAATGGTTAAAGACAAAAATGATTTTCAGACGATTTCCAGTTTTGTCAGGCTGCTAAAAAGACAGGTTTATTACACTGATGAAGTCATTCAGTAAGTTTTTCACCTGAGACTGCAAAAAAAAAAAAAAAAGCAAAAAAAAACCAACGGGAAATTCTATATTGATAATAGTTAAAAAAAAAAACTCTTTAGCAAAAGTTTTCTATTCTTTTTTTTATTCCATCTACTTGTTTTCTTTTTAATTATTACAAAAAAAATTATAATAACTTGACCCTCTGACAATAGCTCTATCTATTCTATCTCTTTTCTATCTACCTTTTATTCTGTGTATTTAATATTTAATACTGCGTTAGACTAACCGGGACTTGTCACAACACTTAAATATTTTTGTTGTTTTTATTTCTTCTATTACCCTCTTTTGTAAGTCGCTCTGGATAAAAGCATCTTATAAATGATTAAAGACTGCAAAAAAAAAAAAAAAACGCATAAACAAGCTAGCGTGAATTACTGAAGCTAATAGTTAGCGCCACCCATTATATAAAAAAACGTAAGCATTCTTTTAAAAAGAGTGCTTACTATAGAAATAATATACTTTAAAAATATATATAATTAAGTGTGAACTGAATGTAATGTTTTCAAACACATAATTGCATGTTATTTACAATTAAATGAAAATGTATTCTAGTTTAAATTTATATTAAATGCAGAATTTTGACCCACTTAAGTAAGACTTCATACATCTTTATATGTAATTTCATAATTAGTTCCACTGTCTTTGAAGCATCGTAAAACATGGTAACTTTAATGTAATTTTTAATGTCATTGAAACTAGTATATCATCAATTTTAAATATATTTGTAACTATTTTGGAAATATTTGTGTTAAACAACTTTAAATTAAATCTCAAATAACACACTACAGTTAAAAATTATAAGTACCTTAAATGTGCCTTAGTATGTTAACATTAGTTTAATCAAAGAACGAAGCAAGAGGATGTTCAGCTAAACAAAAACCAATAATTAGCTTATATTTAGCCATTACACTGTGCATCTGTCAGCTGAAGAAAGAGTTAGGAAAAAGGTGTGTTGACATGATTTCACCACATCCTCAACATGTGCTACTAATATCACTTCTTCTGTATCTATATATAAATTAGGCATTAAACCGCAAGGCAGCAACAGCAGATATGTGGATAAAAAAGCCAATATCCACCACAGCCTGAGTGTCAATTAAAGACAAGCGAGTGTACAGTAATTAATTACTCTGAATAATTCAGCACTGAACTTTCGTACGGCTGGCTGGAGGGGGGAGGTCTGTGCACCCCCATGGGCAAGAAGCCAATTAGTTGCTCTCTTTATGAGCAACACCCAACCTAAGCCCAACGTTGACACAACGCTTTGACAGCTCAAGCCTAGGAGGTGTTGCCTATCTGTTTATCTCAGCGAGCGGGACGTCTGAGGGCAGTTTGGTCAAGTCTGATTGGCATCCAGCACTGCTGGGGACTAACTAAAAAACTGAGTTTTATCCATTTTTTTTCATCCCAGTGAAAATTTCCCAATCAAATTCCTCCCCCAATGGATTCCACCCACAATCCCCCTCTCTCTCTGTAGAAATAATCTGGTTTCAGAGGCATTTTCTTTGTTAAAAGGCCTGTAATTGGGCTAATTGCAGTGTGTAGGGAGCCTAGCAGGACACTCCAGTGACTGCAGCCTAATCAGAGGGTGTTGAGATGTGTGTGTGTGTGTGTGTGTGTGTGTGTGTGGGAGGTGTGGTCAGAGGCGGTTTCATTAGCTTCAGGCTGGTGCGACGAGGGGAGCTCGTTACAGGGTGGGCAGGGGACAAAAGGGAGGAGAGGGGGTTTTCTTAACAAAGACAACGAGTTATCCAATGAAGCATTATGGGTTTTAATATGTATAAATACTGTTTATGGGAATTAATATTTATAGCTTGTAATTTTTTGGATTAGAGTCAATGAGTTCGCAAACTGCCCTTGGAGTTAATGCATAAAGCCATAAACCTTACTGTAAATAAAACGTACTTATCTGAAGTGATCCAGGTTGGTTTGTGTGTGTGTGTGTGTGTGTGTGTTTCTACATAGCCTCCAGCTTTCATTTACTAGGTAATGTTGGCGTATTCTGACTGATTCACCCAAAATTCACAGAGGCCAGCAATTCTCTGCTACAAATCACACCAGGACAACACACAGCAGGAGCCGCTCGTTTCTGTTCATGAGAATCACAGAGGAAATAAATCAAACTGACAGAGTAAGGGACACTTTAAGTGACAGACAGATAGAGCCGGTCAAAAAAGGGCCACACGGGGTATTAAATCTAAACTATACGAGTCCATAAACATACTTCCATGTCTGATCAGAGACTATGAGAAATAAGTTCCTTGCTTTCCTCACCGCTTTATATGTTTTCTTCTGTCCGGCATGTTTGGGTGCTTTGGCCGGGTCAGAGCTGATCTCCACGTGCATGGCATAGATGATGTCATAGAAGTCCTCCACCATAGCGACCCTTTTGAGAAAGGAGTTCTCCGGCCCCGAGCCCCCGTCCACACACTGAAATCACACAAAAAAATAGACTTATTTCATATACTTAAGCAATGTTACACAAGCAAAACTTATGTTATGCTTTATTATACCATTGAATTATCTGACGGACTGACAAACACATTTTCAAGTCAAATAGTGATTATCACAGCACATAATTCTGTGCTGTAAAACAACAGTGTTTTGGTAATATGATTATGCCCATTTTATATTTGAAATATATTTCCTTTGTAAAATGATTTTTACTTTGTTCAACAGGGTTAATTTATTTACCTATTTTGACATTAAAATGTATTTTATTATTTTAACATGGTAATGGATATGACAATAATGTTAATGTATTTGGTCTTGGCGAAATAGATCTGCTATGCTGCTGCTGTTGGTTATTGCTGTTGTTTTCGAGTATTGCTGCTGCTGCTGCAAAGCAAGTACAGGAACTTGCTACTGCCGATACATGACGAGACAGTGCTGTGAAGACATACTGCTGCTGCACAAATAGCATATATCAGCGGTTCTCAATTCCAGTCCTCGTGCCCCACCTGCACATTTTGTGTGTATCTCTTACCGCTTCAGACGTTTGTTCTATTCGGATGTAAGTGCCCTGCAAAGTGGATATCACAGGATGTTCTGCCATGATCCCAGTTCGAAGCGAGTGTATATGTTCCATTTAAAGGTCATTAAAGTGTATGAGACGTGAATTTAAATAGTATTTATTTACAGAGGCATTTATGTCACACTTCACACTCTAGTAAGTTTCATCTGTGTGTGAAGATGCTGCAGGCAGTGGCGTAGCGCAAATATGTGAATGAATGTTCAGAAGAAGTAAACTTCAACGGATTTCCCCTGCTCAGAGTGTAGGAAGCAATGAACACATTGTAGGGAACATGTCAATCGGAACACAGTTCATGCACAGAGCTCACTTCTAACGAGCTGGTTATCTGAATCAGGTGTGTTAACTAAGAGAGACATGCAAAATATGTAGAGTGGGGGATGGGGGGGGGGGGCGGGGGGACTGGAGTG